CAAAATCACCTATCATCCCATCATTTAAAGTTCAGACTCAAATTCAGCTCCTTGTCCCTAACTTTCTATTTTTAATAGGGAGATCACAACTCATTGTTTTCAGAGTAGTACTTTGGAAAATATTCTGAGAAAGGAAAATCCCCAGTGATTTCATTCACTAATGAGGCTGAAAACTAATATTTGGACAAACAGTGTACACACACAAATAAATAAATCAATAAATAAATAAATAAATCAACAACAATGACAACAATAACAAAAACAAAAACAGAAAACAGCATTCAAGCCAAAAGGAGCTTAAAGACAGACAGGGGCTGGGAATAGTTCAAGATTAGCTTAGTGTCTTCTCTGATCTCTAGTAGTTAGGCTTTCTAAAGAGAAAAACATGATGGATGGATTCTGGACCTAAAACCAGTCATGAGCCTGCACACACATACTTTTGGATCTGATGCAAGTAAGCAGTCCTGGTTGATGCTTGTGTAAGAGGTGGGTAAGGACATCTCTGTGGGTCTCTGTGCTTCCACCATTTGCTTTGCCCATTGTTGTGCTGTATTTTCCATCCCTGAGAGTGTAGGATTTCACTGTGTTCAAAGAGCGCCGGAAAACAAGAGGATGGCTTGCTCAATTGCTGCTGGGCCACCTCTGACCGCCGGCACTGTTCCTAGCAGGCTGCTCACAGCATACCTCCATTTTAACTCACAAAAAAAAAAAAAAAAAAAAAAAAAAAAAAAAAAAAAAAAACATTTTTGAGGGTTATGGAGGAATTTTAAAATTTTTATCACACAGAATCACAGAATTTCTAGGTTGGAAGAGACCTCAAGATCATCGAGTCCAACCTCTAACCTAACACTAACAGTCCCCACTAAACCATATCCCTAAGCTCTACATTTAAACGTCTTTTGAAGACTTCCAGGGATGGTGACTCCACCACCTCCCTGGGCAGCCCGTTCCAGTGCCTCACAACCCTTTCAGTAAAGAAATTCTTCCTAACATCTAACCTAAAACTCCCCTGGCGTAACTTTAGCCCATTCCCCCTCGTCCTGTCACCAGGCACATGGGAGAACAGGCCAACCCCCACCTCTCTACAGCCTCCTTTAATGTACTTATACAGAGCAATAAGGTCACCCCTGAGCCTCCTCTTCTCTAGGCTGAACAAGCCCAGCTCCTTCAGCCGCTCCTCATAGGACTTGCTCTCCAGGCCCCTCACCAGCTTCGTCGCCCTTCTTTGGACCCGCTCAAGCACCTCGATGTCCTTCTTGTAGCGAGGGGCGCTATATAAAATATCACATTTTATTTTATTGTGTCTTTGTAATGAAGTAGGTTGCACCAAAGGCCACATGTTTACAAGTGAGAGCATTTTGGGGAGTGCTAAAACCCTGACCTCTTGGCTGTACAGCCAAGGCCTAGCCCATGCGGACACAGTGCCTGCCCCCCTACCAAGGCACCGTCCCTCTCTCTGCCTGGCTACCACATCTAAAACTTGTGGCTAACGGGAGCGGTTGCTGCTCTCCTAGTAATTTTTCACCTGTAGACCCCAAAGCACTTCTTTACATTACTAATCTGTTGCTACTGTATAGTAATACCGTATAGTATTTACTTACTGTATAGTAAGTATAGAAATTTGAAGCAATGCCTGTGCCAGGCATTGCCTGATTTCACCACTGGCCAGATTTCACCATTTCTGGTTGCTTCCTTATGGTTACAGTGTACAACTGCTGAAATCCTTGAGGTTTGCAGGCATCAGCAGCTTGATGCACCAAGAGAGAAGTAGTAAAGGCCAGCTCTCTGCCCTGCAGCAGTAAGGTCCCTCCCCAGGCACAAAGGTGGTCAGAAGCATGAGTTTGTCCCATTTCCTTTTGGCCTCCTTAGGAATGGGAGGGACCAGCCCTAGCAGCCACTGCTCACTGTGTTGCATGTCTCGGGCAAGTGCCTAGCCCTAAACTGGAGAGGGTGGAGGCTGAGAGTTATGGAGGGCAAGGTTGTCAGCTAGATCTTGAAGATGACCCTTTTCCAGCATGCTCCCTCATTTTCTATACACAAATATTTTCCCTCCACCCATAATTTTTTTTTTACAGATTCAATGACAAAGCACAGTGCTGGGCTTTCAGACAGTACCAATTTCTGGAGCACTTGTCTGTTTCTGATTTTCTCCTTGCCTGAGCCAGTATAGGGGCCTACCTTGCATTCGAAGCAAGCTTAATGAGACACAGTTTCATTACACAGATTATCAGGCTCAAAGAAATGTCCAGCACAACAGACAATCAGAAAAAAATCCCTTTAATAGCTTTTAAGATTAAAAAAATAAATAAAAAGAAAAAAAAATACTCCTCTTAATTTAAAATATCAATTCTAACTTTTCAATGAGATGTTTGCTCTGCAATTCTAAGACCAGAAGCTTGTTTTGTTTCACACGTTGTGTTATAACATGGCATGAAATCAACCTTTAAATGGAGCTTGACTTACATATGTTAACTTGTTCCTTCCTCCGTAACACTAACAACATGATTCTCCATTTGGAACTACGTGCTTTTTTTTTTTTTTTTGAGATGTATCTGGGATGAATAAAAGACAGGAGAAAGTGTGAAAATGGCTATGCGAACATGTTATTTTATATTTAATATTGCTGAAGTTAGTGGAGATGGAAATTGGCCATGTGATGGATTTTAGCTGTAGAGAATTATCTTCTCTTGGCAATAAAGCACTGCCTGTCTTAAGCTTGACCTCTGAGCAGTTGCACGTAATGTTTTCTCTGTCAAGTGAATGTATTCACAATGATCTGTCACAGGTGCTCACACGTAATATGTTTCCTGTCAAAAGTGATCATCCATATTTTATATAGCAGCTTTGATGACAAATATTTTGTACTTCAGCTGCTTTTTCTTCCCTCTGTCAGACTTAATGAAGGAAAGTCATGGATAGTTTTTAAATAATGTCAGCTTCTTAGATCACATTACGATGTCTGCCTTTGAAAGTAGCCTCGTGCAAGAACCAAAACACAGGGCTGAGAGAGACAAGGACATTTTCACATGGTAAACTCTTAAAAGCAATTTTTTCTGGCTCTTAATTTCAGAATCAATACACTTTGTACCTTTGGAATCTTCTCAGAAAAACATTGTCCTGTATTTAGACAGCATTCACTACTTTGAAGTGACAAACTAATTTTGGTGGTACTCTTTTGGTACTTTGAGTTCACTACTTTGGTGAAAACATATCTGATAAATGGTTTGTGCTTGCAGCTTCTCACTGTGCAGAATGCTGTTTATTCTTATGGTAGTGGTGTGTCTTGGTGGTAAATACACTTCCCTCATGGTTGTTCCACAGAGTGCCTTAGGGGCACAGAGAATTAGGCTCTTATGTTCTCATTGAAATTGTTTGTCCTAAGCAGGGCCAAGGATTTCTTTTTTCCTACCTGTTCAGCCCTACTGAGAGAAATAACCTTCATTCTGTATTCTGTTAATTAAAGAGAAAAAGTGAATTTGAACTCCTTTTGAGATTTCTCAGATTGTGATACTGGCCATTGAAATCTCAGAGTATAAAGGAGTGCCTTTCTCATTTCTGGGCTATGTATTTTTACCAAAGCTGTAAGTGAATGTACAGGGGTATTCCCAAACTTCCCTGCCACCAGGCAAACTCCCCCAGGCTAGCAGCAAGAGTGGTGCTTTTCAACCTGTAAGCCATGGATTCATATGGGCTTCTGCTCCACTTCCAAGGGATCCACAGAAGGGAGATGACAAAAGCAAGTTCATTGTGTATGCGAACTATTTATCAGAGTCTGCAGATAAAAATAAGTTCAGAACACTAAAATAGGTGATAAAAGTATGACACATGCATATTTATAATAATATCACAAGCCTGAGGGCAAAGCAGAACAGGAAGATGACAGTATTTATGAATTGGATTTACAAATATAAATGAGGACTGGATTTATCTTACATATAAAATAGAATCAGATGTCTCAATTAAAGTTTACAGTTAGAAAAATGTCTGGGTTTGTCATACAAGAAGAGGCCAAAAAAACAGTGACACAGGCATAGAGCTACTTGATGCTTAATTATCAAACTCCTATTTAAGAATGCAGCCAAGAAGGAATTAGAAGGAGGTAAGAACTTCTACAGTACTGAGAGATACAAAACATTACTCTGTACCACTGAGAAGTAATTCACTGACTAATGTCTGCTGCTGAAAATACAGCCTGCAATATCTCCCGTTTTTCTGCTACTTCCAAATAAATACTGGATAGTCTTAAGCAGTCAGTGTACTAAGTTTTCCTTTCGTTGTCTGAAGAATTATAACAATCCAATTGAAAAGAAAATATAATCCTACCTATGCTCCATGCTGGGATTGGAGCAGGGTAAATGCCACAGTTAAGTCTGAACATCAGGTTGTAATTGTTAGAGATTAAAAACATGCCAGAGAGAACATTCCAGAGGAAGAAGGAGGGTGAGAAGGATGGCTCTCCTGTGTCTTTTTATTAGAGCAAATTAGCATTAGATCTAACAGAGGCATATTCTGCACAGCAGAACTCAATCAAAATACATTTAGTCAATGAAGGAAATGATATACTGGGTTGTTGTTTAATCATCCAGATTTGAAAAGCAAATATATATGAACGTGTATTTATCTGCTGAGTCAAGTGAATACAAGGTTAACTGAAGAAGCAGCAGGAAAAACACTGGAAATAACTAGAAGAAAAATAAATTTTCTCTAGGATGCTGCTGTTCTACAAAATCTATTTTAAATTTAATTTGCACTTTGTTATTTCTGCAAGATGTGAGCATGTCAGTTATGCTGGTGAAGTAATCACCGAAATGAAATGTTGGGTCATAATAAAAGATGCAAGAAAAAAAAAAAGCAATCTTTAAAGAGCTGTCAGAGGGGAGGAGGGTGGTCCACCCTTCCAAGTACAGAGGAACCATTATGCTCTTGTTCTTTGGAAAGAAATTGTCTAATTTCTTATTCTCTTCCTTCTCCACCTTGTTTTTTAATACTTCTCTTTGCAGTGCATCCTAACGTGAGCCAGGGTTGCCAAGGAGGGTGTGCTACGTGTTCGGACTACAACGGATGCCTGTCATGTAAGCCCAGACTCTTCTTTGTTCTGGAGAGGATTGGCATGAAACAGATTGGAGTATGTCTTTCCTCGTGTCCAAGCGGATACTATGGGACACGGTATCCTGATATTAATAAGTGTGCAAGTAAGTGCTGGGGAAAGGGGAAGCACATTGATTTGTTTGTCCTCTTTTGAATGCTCCTTAGGAGTCAAGTCAACAGAGAAGCAGGAGGACAGGCCGAGTTTTATTTTTTCAGTTCTGTTATAGTAATGCAGTAAATATTAACCTGAGCAAGGAGTTAAGTTGAAAAATTAGAAAAGTGCCTAATGCTCATGGGTCCCAGCTCTGCTTGAGTGACTTGCCTAGGAGCTGGGAGGTGGCCTCTGTCTCTACACCCTGATGCAGAAGTGGGGCAGCAGCAGGGACAGGCACTGCCCTCCAAAGGCTGGAGCAGCAAGGCTGAGCAGCTGCAGCTCTGTAAAGCAGAGGCCACTGAGCCTCAGGGACTGGGGCAGTTCCTGGCCTTCCCCCCGAGATGTGAAGAGAAGGTGGCACTCTGTGGAGATGCGCTTTGCCCTGGTCTCCTTATAGTTTGCCTCACAAGCAGTGTAAATGTCTGTACCAGCTGGCAAGGTCTCAGCCTGATCTGGGGGAGGTTAACAATCCGTGTTGCCTCTGGGCTGGGAGACAGAGAACTCAATTCTATTCTTTACCATTTGGGCAACATTTTGACCCTACCGTGTATTTTGAACCGTAAATGAACTGGAAAAGATTGTAATAGCATTTTCATTCCCCTCCTTGCCCTCCCTCCTGTGATTTTTGTTGTTGAGTTCAGTTTTTAACCCCACAGGTAATATAAAAACATACATGCGACAGCCAAGCCACTCTCCCAGATTTTACCTGGTAATAAAAGTTATTTAATGAACAGACCCCAGAGTAAAATCTTACAGAGTAACTTGACACTGTAAGTACTTGCTCACTTTTTAGCAGTGTGTGGCCTTAAATATAAGACACGAGCTGTGTCATGCACCAGTTTTTGCTTATGTCTTTTAAAAATACTTGAGAACTGGAAAATATATTGTTAATGCCATTCTGGGTAATCATATAGAGGATGCGTGAAATACTACAGGATTGTTGGTCAAACATGAGAAAGTCACTTAAAATATGAAAATTACGTTGACATAAAACATGTTTTATTTCTTCTGGATGGATGGAGATAAATAGCGTGGAACTGGGTCCAGTACATGTAGCTGGTGGAGTTAGTTACTACCTATGCTATGTCAAGGTAGATCATAAGTACTATATTGTTATTCTGATGAGCTGTGCTCTGTTTTCAGTTTGAACAGGTCTGCAAGAATACAAGAAGTGTGTGACCACTCAGCATCAGGCCATCCTTATTAAAATCCGACTCATACTAAGACCACTTGTTGCTTCCCACAGTGCGTGTACAGGGCATAGGGAAGATCTAAAAATAATTTACTACCTTTGAAGATTGTTTTGCAATGCTAGAGTCATATGAAGTGATTTTGCCTTGAATTCTAGTGTGTGTAAGAGAGCCTGTGTTTTTTCATGGCAAAGAGCATCAATGTTATTGTCTGTTTGCATTTCAGAATGTAAAGCTGACTGTGAAACCTGCTTCACCAGAAACTTCTGCACGAAGTGTAAAAGTGGGTTTTACTTGTACAGTGGAAAGTGCCTTGAAAAGTGCCCTGATGGGCTGGAAGCCAACAACCACACGATGGAGTGCACCAGTATCGGTAAGTCCGGCCCCGTCACATAACGGCTTGATCCTCTCTGGTTTCCTCAGGGGGGTGGGGGGTCAGTGGAGGCCACGAACTGCTAGATCAGTCACAGCACCAGGGAAGGGCATCTTAAATCTGCCCTGGACATATTCTGTATCACAAGGTGTATTCCTCAGCACAGCAAACTCATGACATTTCACAAAAGCCAATCTTGGTTGTGCCCCAAAACACAACCCTGAAGCTAAGAGCAGTTCTGCCTCAGGACGTATGGCCCATGTCATCCCACATGTTTGGCCTACCCTGAGGTAGAAGGACATCCATCCCAAGCGTGAGCTGTTATGGCGTTATGCAGCATCGCTAACATCAAAGGCTCAAAAATCCTGAGCCAGGCCCCGCACCTAGTTTAAAGACTGAAATACTTAACTGCTTTGCTCTCAGTCCCTTAGGCTACCTGACTCTTCCAAGCATGTGTGCTAGAGCATTTTGAAGCTTACCTTCCCAGAGGCAAAGGCTAGAAGCTAAAAAATTAAGATAAAGATGAAATTCCAAATGATATTTTTGTATAATCACCTGACTGCAGACAGCGAGGATTAAAACAAAATGCCGAATAGCACAGCGCTGTCAGCGAAGGAATGAGACTGGCAGCACTGCTGCAGTGACTCACGGCTGCAGAGACTAGAACTGCTTTTGTATCTCTTCAGCCTCTGACTCACAGGCTCCGATTATTCACGGCCAGGGTGATTTTGGAGGTCACCACACCTAGCTGTCTGCTCCATCCCTCCACCACCCCTGCAGCTGAGAGAGAGCAGAAAGAGTTATGTGTTTGCCTGTGGGCTGCTGCAGTTCACATCCGCTGCCACGGGCATGCTGAGGCTGCGTCAGGACTCAGCTTATTTTAGTGCACGGGCTGTGAATTGTGGTGGCTGTGGGCTGGGAGCTGCGGTGGGAGCGGTAACCTCTTCAGCCACCAGCAACCAGGGAGCACTTAGGCGCAGCCTGGCCATGATGGAAATCTCCTCTCCCACGGCGTCGTGCACATAACTCTCCCTGGCATGACCTGTTTTGCAGGGCAAGCAATGCAGGAGTAAAAGTAATGTGCAGTAGTTTGTCGCTTATTAGTTCAGGTGGTAGTGATGGTTTTTATGGTTTTATTTTCTAGCAAAGACTTTCATCTTTGAAAGCAATTCAAGAAATCATTTTTGTTCCTTGGTGGCTTTTTCCAAGTGCCGTAGACTTAGCTGCTTTAACAATGACTCAGTCTCAACTCGGAAAAGCCATTTAAAGCTACAGAGGAAAAACAGAACCTTTTTGTGCACGTGAAGGCCAATTATTTTAACAGGAGAGCTCCAGTGTAATATTAAAAACAAAATGAGCCACATGACGATTCACTGGAGGAGGGCTCAGAGATTGCCTGAGGTCAGTTATAGTTTTAGGTTTTGAAAAATTTGAAAGTAAATTCTGGAGCTGGAAAAATGTTGACGTACAAAATCCTCCTGATAGAGGAGCAAGAATCCTTTCCTTCTTTAGAGGAGGTTTATAGTCTTAAGCACACATGGGAATATAAAGCAACTATAAGTGTTTACTGCTTTTTGTTAAGAGAAGGATACTGAGGAGATGGCACAAGAGTAGCATAGCTATTAAGAGCATGTTTTGAAGCTCCAAGGGTTGCTCCCATTTTTGTCTGTATTTTTAGGACAAGTGTTCATATGCACACCTTTGAGTTCCTAATAGTACAGGATGTACGTTCAGGTCACTGTAGTTTGGAAATGGCAACCTGTACTTTTCTTAAAAGATTACATCCCTCTGCTTTGCCTACTTAAATATTATATGCATTACAGATGTTGGCTCTTTCATTATTTAAGTTGAATATCAAGCAGGAGATAACCAAAGATGCTTGATTCTTAATGTAATACCTTTTGATATTAGTTGTTTCACTATAACTCTATTTATTTTCAAATTCAGTACCTCTAAGACCAACTGCAGCAGCTTGACACAATGATTTCAATCTCCTGTCACACCAAAGTTTAATTCTGCTGAGGTTATAAGGATCTATATCTCCACAGAACCAAAGCAACCTAGTAACTGATTTCACTGAAAGCAATTGTTGTGTTGCCCTGTTTCAGGAACAGATTACAAAACAGTGGGTACAAAAGAGCATCTGACATGATTGTTGGACATTATTTTATGTAATATACCTTCAGCAGTCCAAATTCACTCAATTCACTGCTGTAAATCCTGATTAATTCCATTATTTTTTGCTGCCTTTTGGCTGATGCAGAATAAAATAAATGTACCATATGCATTATGTATACTAAAAGGTATTGGCCAGGCTCAGCTTGTCCTATGTTTGTTGCAGTGCACTGTGAAGCTAGTGAGTGGAGTCCATGGAGCCCTTGCACAAAGAAAGGAAAAACATGTGGTTTCAAAAGAGGAAATGAAATAAGGGTCAGAGAGATCGTACAACATCCGTCAGCAAGGGGCAATCCTTGCCCAGCTACAAGCGAGAGCAGAAAATGTGTTGTACAAAGAAAGAGATGTCAGAAGGAAGGAAAAGGTACCACATTATCATCATCATAATTTGAGACTGGTATTGTGCTTGTTTAATAATTCACATCTGAATTCCCAGGCCTTGACTGCTGGTTTCACCAAAGCTCCCATTGATGTGGTATTCTTTGGGCTGGAGGGAGACGTGCCCTTGCCTGGAGTAAATAAAGTCCTAATGCTGCTGAAAAAATGTGCTTTGTGTGATCTAGAGAGGACAGGGTGGGCTGGATGGGAAGGCACATTCTCTCTAAGTTCTGCTGAAAGAGCTGCCAAGATGAGGGGTTGCATGTGGAGCTCAGAGCAAAAAGGTCTGTCGTAAAACATGTCATGATGGGAGTTACTTGTTGGGTATCAGGCAGTCAAATTTTATGCTTCAACCACAGGATTCCTCCAAACTGGTTCCTATTTCATGCTCCCCTACAGGTATGCCCATAATTCTTGCAGTTACAGTGCTGTGGCCTCTCTCCCACCCTGACCTCTTTGTAATAGCTTTGGCTGAACAATGTGGCCTGATCCTGCCATCTACATGTGGCTTGCAGAGTTCCAGCATGGGAGAAAGACCACAGCATTGCTTGGCAGCCAAGGGACACTCCACCTGGTTTTGCCCAGTTATCAGGAATGCCAGCAGAACTGTCCCTCCACATAAGCCAGTGTGTCGGGCTTACTTCCCATCACAGGACCTTGTGGACGCCATCCAACATGTTAAGAATGGGAGATGGTTAAGAAGTGTATGAAACAATAATTTATACAAATTCTACCCAACAGAGATTGTTATTCGATATTCTCCCCTTAATGTACAGGGAAGTTACTTGCTCTGTCCCCAGTGCAGTTACTGTGGTTGACACAGGAGTGCCACAGGAACATTTCCTTTTCACTGTCTCTCCCATTTTCCCCACCCTTCCTGTTTCTCCATCCCTTCTATTTCCCCTAAACCTTTCAAACTCAAAAGCAGGCCTTATTCTGAGGATGAGTGGAAGGGGTACAGCACCTGTGTGTGAGCCAGCATAAGCTGCTGGTACCAAGAAGTAATTTAGTGTCTATTGTTAAATTATCACTAGAAGTACTGCAGATTACTGATAGAAATGTGAAAAGGTTTTGGAGCTCGTAATCCTTTTGAAGGATGGCTTGTTCCCTCAGAATATACGTCATGAGTAAATAAATGTTAGAAGGAAGATGTTATGAAGCAGAAGCTTCAGGTGCCTCTCCCTCACTGAAGAATTGGCTAGATCTACTGATTTATGGGAACCTACGGGGCAGATTTCACCTTCCTGAGGTTAGTTCAGCCTCCCTGTGTCCAGCAGTGCCTTGGAGAGGTAGAGCAGTGTGGCTGCCTCAAGGGAGCAGCCAAGGCAAACTATTTACAGATTCCTTCATGCTTAAGACTCTATCTTCAAAATGTCCATGAAGATTATCACTTTTGCTCATGTACAGCAGCACAGCTTGAAAAACACAACCCTGTTAGCCCACTGTAACTGGCCAAAAAGTGTATTTTTTTTTCCTACCAGTTACTTTTGCTAGAACTGAAAACATAATTCCGAACTTACTTTAATTTTGAAACTGAAAACTGTTGTTTTTCCTTGAGGTGATAATGTTGTTTTGTATTTGTTATGGCAATATGGAAACATCTTCAGACTGGACAAAAGATTTCTTTTTGAGAAATATTTGCTCTTCATTTGCTGTTCTTGTGTAGTAAGTACTTTAAAAGAAACTCCTCACGTATTTTACTGTCAATTCTTGTTTTATGGGACCTGAGCCAAGCCATATTTGAAAAATGTTGCATACCACAAGAATTCCTTTAAAATTGTGAATCCTGAATTTCCTGCAATATGCATAAAACTCTTTTGTTTTTCTTCCTCTTGAGCAAGTCACAGACTACATCCTAGCCTGTTCTACTCTTGGTAGACAATTCCTATGAAACAAATGCAGCCAGATGTAACATATATTCCAACACTACCTGTGCCTTTAGGATTTGCATGTTTATGGCTAGAAGTCTTTTTTTTTTTTTTTTTTAGTGCTCTGAAATCCACCATTGTACAATCCTTTGTAACATTAACCACAAATGTCTTACTTTTGCACACCTTCAGAGGGAGATGAATTTATTATTAAAAAAAATAATAATATATTAATAAAACCAAAGAAATTCACATATAAAACATTAGGTTAAAATAGCTTGAAGAGATAGATTATGGTGACACAAGCCAGGAAACCGAGAATTAAGCTAAAGGTTTTCCTTATGTTCCTACTGGAGTAGGGAAATGAAGCTTTCCAACTTAAATCTCCAGGCAACTTATCTTGCTTACTGCCACTATCCCATATTACTCCAAGAGAAACTTCTGTTCCCCTTTGAACATGAGAGCACTGGCACAAGAAGCCAAGCCAGGCTCTGTTCTTATGGCTAGCTGGTCCAGTCAATGAAGGGAAGGCAAGTTAACAACAAAAACTCTTTTGGACAGAGAAGGGAAAGTAAATACTTACTGTTAATTAATTTTGAAAATACTGTTTTGCCTTGTACAACTCCACGTTGCCACTTGGGAGTTGGTTTGGAGCCCAGCTTCCACAGCTCTGGCTTGAAGTCTGGCAGCAGAGCTGGCCATTACTGACAGCACTGCTAATGATCTTCCCTCCACGGAAGCAAAGACAGAGTTAGCTTGGTCAGCCTCTGCCATTTCCATGTTGAATACATGTCTGTGGCCGAGGGAGTAAGGGCAAAGACCACATGATGACGGGGTATGTCCGTCAGAGATGCCTCAATGACTTTGCTCAAGAAGTTGAGATCAGAGACAGGATGTTAGTCAGTTCAGTTGCTGCTATCTCACAGAAGAAAGAACATGTTTCTGGAACAGCTATGCAAAGCAAGATAAAACAAATGAATACAGCTTTTTTTTTTTTTTTTTTTTTTTTTCCATCTGCTGGTGTGTCCTTAAAGCTGGTGCAATCTGCTATAACTCGTTTTTTCCCCTCACTGGCTATTAAATTAAGTTTTACTGGGAGAAGATGCTAGTTTTTTTTTTTTCCAGAATGAATGCAAACAAATGGGAATAATTAGATTACCAATAGCCTTACTAGACTAAAAGGTTCTTCTTATTCATTTTAGCACTAAATTAGTTGAATCCAATGTGTTTTGACATGGTACTTTGCATGTGTTTCCCATATAGGCTCCTTTTATAATTCAGTCCAATTGAAACCTCACTGCAACTTATTTTATAATTGTCCTTTTTTAAACTCACAATGTACAGTTCTTTTTAGTCCACAAGATTATGATTTCAATTTCCAGTTTTTTATTCCTTTCTCTCCAGCATATTTCCATAATTCAGTGCCCTCAGCACAATGCACTGCTGCTTTAACCTTTCTACGCTTAACATCTCCTTCTGCACTGGCAGAAGGCATACTTAGATAGTCAACTCTTTCTTGTATCCATGTCCATAAATGGCAAATGTATTTTCAGATATATTGGAAAAGCATAGTTTGAAGAGCAGGAGAAATGTTGCAAATTATCCATCTATATTATTAGTTTGCTTTAATAAATGTCAGGTAAAAATGGGAGGTTAGCTGGGACTGAACAGAAAGTTATGTGGAGAATGTTCTCTTCCATTTGGATGTGGGGTCTTGGTTGAATTACTTGTGCTTGGCCAAACACAAGCAATTTGCAGCCCTTTTGGTCTGCAAATGGGGATGAGATTAACTTTTACTGGTCAAAAGACAAATTCCAGAACTGCATCCAGAAGTATGTGGGGAAGGAATTGCATGTTTTCATGCACAAGTAACTCTACCAAGACCCCACATCCAAATGGAAGAGAATATTCACCACAAATATCAGTCCCAGCTAACCCCCCTACAGAGTAGTCACCTTTACATGCTTTCAGATAACATTTTCTGATCAGTTGGAAGAGACTGAAAACACTCACCAAAAGACTAAGTGGGAAAACCAGGGAAAACAGGGGAAAAAAGGGAAAATATCTTAGAAAGCTGGGTATTATTCAGGCTAATAGGCTACGTTGGTTACACAATTGTATTGTTGTAAAAAATAAATAACATATTTCAGTTGTTTTCTGCTCATATATTCACTCATTTGTATGTTGGTGGCATTCATATGTTCAAAGGAGAGAATGAATGCTAACTGTGTCCATTCTGTGCAAAGACAAACCAATGGAAGGTTCTGTTCCTAAACAGAAAAAACTTAAGCATTAGATGTGGAAAAATAAAATAAAAAATAATAATAATAAAAAAAATGCTGAGATGAATGTGGAATGATACATTTCTTTTTCACTGTAGAGTGTAGTAATTGTCACCCCACACAGTCTGAAAGCAGGATGCTGTTATAAAAATAAGTGGTTTGTGCTCTAAGGAGAATATAGTTGTTACGGTGTGGTTTCTTTTTTGGTGTGCAGCAAGAATAAGACAGAAAGCAGAGCTTTTGAGATGAGGAGCTGATTTCTAGATGCACACTGGCAGAAATAAGGGAACTAAGGGAACAGGATTTTGTGTTGAGCAGTTTTATTGAAGGAAGCATATGTGTTTGGGAGAACTATTAAAGTTATGTGTAAAAAATGTTTCTATACTATATGTGAATATAAAAATACAGTTTTGATTTTAATAGCTAAGAAGGCTGATACTCAGGTCATCTCTGTTGTTTCTGTGAAGTAACTCCTCTACACTTTGTTGGTATGTGTCCACATAATGCTTCAAACATATTACTCAGATTATGTCTGAAAATGTCTTCAGTTGTCTATGGTGTGAGGAAGGAGTCCTATCAGGCACCCATTAGACTTCCAAAACCACCACTCAGCAAAAAATTCCAAGCCATTTATCAAAATTTTACTTTAGTTGAAAACAGTGTAACTTAATACTAACAAGCCTAAAATATTAGGCCATAAACTAATTGCATTCACTTAACTTAAACTCCTTGAGTTACCCACCCTAATGTATACACTCTGATGCCATATGGATCCAGGTAAAAATGAATCACTGAAGGCTCTAACAAAGTTGGCCCTTTAGTATGGGAAGGAAAGGAAAAAGTGGAAAAAGGAACAAGGAAAAAGGAAAAAGGAAAAAGGAAAAAGGAAAAAAAAAATGCTAAAAATCAGATGTTTATGTCTAAGCAAGTTATAGACGAGTCATGTTAAAGGTGTGATACTGCACCCAGGGAGGAGGATTCATGGCCCCATTAGATGCATTCTGAGAAGGGCAAAATGGTTTGCCCCCTGAAAGTGCCCTTTTTTCCCCTCAGCTAAGTACAGTCTAGGGTGAGTGATGTGGTCTTTTACCTGCTAACTTCTACATATTTTGAATTAAATGACACATTTTCCCCATTTGCAGTGTAATGACTTTGTAACACTGCGAAATCTAACCCAGGGTTCACCCAGGCTGACTCAGTAAGCAAGGCAAGTGTGTGTCAGGGGATCCATGGGTCAGTCAAAGTAAAACAAAAAGTAGAACTGAAAAATACTTGTTTGCAATAGTCATTTCATTAAGTGCTGGAAAAATCAGGGTTAGGCAGTGTTTTGTTGTGTTTGTTGATAAACATCAATTAATGGCTGGACACCTGCTTATTCAAAGGTGAATTCTTGTTTACAGAGCAAGCTATAAGTATGGTCCTATCCATTCCACACACTAAAGAGAAAAGTCTGTTCCCAGGGCAAGGGAAGCCCAAGGCAGGCTAACAGTTCCCTAGTGTACTATTTTTAATCTTTTTTTTTTTTCTCATTAAAATAACAATAATTAAAAAAAGCAATTCTAGACATTTTTGGTACTTCAAATTTTTATTTAACCATATTTAAGTCATAAGTATTGAGCATTGGGACAGACTGCCTAGGGAGGTTGTGGAGTCTCCTTCTCTGGAGATATTCAAGGCCTGTCTGGATGCCTACCTGGGCAGCCTGCTCTGAGGAGCCTGCTTTGGCAGTGGGGTTGTACCCAATGATCTTTCGAGGTCCCTTCCAACCCCTACAGTTCTGTGATTCTGTGAGTCTGTGATAAGCATAGCTACATGGAGAAAGTAAGATATTCCGATCACAGCTCATCCTGAAAGTCAAATCCACTCCCTTACGTAGAGCTCAGTGACATTTGAAGCAGAAGGACTGGAGCATGTGAGCCACAGAGACATCGCAGTGCACAGTTCTCTAGTCTAACTGTGAGAGATGGGGTGTCCTGTGTGAAGGTCACTCGTGTGGTTATGGTTAATGACCTTACTCCATGGCAGGTCACAGGACTTCTGAAGTTTCAAGATGAACACAAAGCTAATTACTGCATCCCCATGTTTACATTCTGCATACGCCAATGGGTCATAGCTCTGGCCTTTGCAAGCCTGAGTTACTATAATTGAGGAATCTGTCTCGCAAAGAGTTTGGTTGTTTATTTTCTGTTTATTCCTGCCAAGAGGACCTCTCATTTCCTTTCCTCGTAGGGGTTTTGACTCTTTAACTTTAACACATTTCCAGCCTCCAAGAGTAGGGCTGTTGAGACTGGGAATCCATTACCTCCAGCATCAAGGGAAATGACTTTCTGGAAATACTTTGAGCAAGGCAGGATGTGGACTGCATAAGGCTGCCCACCACCACTGGCCAGCACAAATAGGTGCCATCTAGAAAAGAGACCAGGGTGAGAAGGGTTAAGAAGGGAAAAAGAGGATCGGTATGAGTCAGAGAGATTTGTGAATCCAAATCCAAAATAGCTTATATCCAAGGATGTACTGGCACTAGAATTCAAGGGCTGAAAAGATAGGAAAAAGCTATTTCTAAACTTTAATCATAGCACTTTCCAAATTTAATCATGGTTAAGCACTTCTGAAAGTCATGTTAGGTAACTAGCTGCAAACTGGGACCTTAAAATCTGAGCTAATTAATAGAAATACTGCATTTTGCTTCAGGTACATTTACTTTGTGCTAGTGTGAACATTAAATTCTCATCGTACCTCCCAGTTCTGACAGACACATATACACTGTGCAAGCAGGTAATACAAACATGCTGTGTGCCTCTGCACATACATTACTATGCACTGTGGCAGTCCTGTCAAATCTGAGAAAGAAGTGGGTGGTCAACTGTTCCTGTAAGGAAAGTGAATCAGAAAAAAAAAATAAAAATCTGACTGCATTCTTGTATTAAAGTGTGGATGACATGAGGTCTTCTCTCCTCAGATCACCAAACCAAATAAGGGATAGAAGTCAGCTCTTTGTCTCTTTCTGATCTTCCCTTCTGGAGACTCTTTGTGCTCCAGAAGTGGCTGGCAGGCTATCTGTTAGATGTCTGAGCTCTGTAGGAAAAACAGGAGGTCACCAAGTCCTCTCCCTCCACCCTTACAAAGTGCCCATCAGGTATCCATTCAGCACCAAACTTCCCCCACCTTTCTGTCCTGAATAGAAATGTTTGAGATCAAGAGGAGTAGCTACAGTTTTAGAAGGTGAAATCTGCAGCTATGTCTATGCTGCCAAAGAAAAGCAGGCAAAGGTGCATTCCCTGACCACAAGGTCAAGGAGCATCTTTTGGTCTGCATCCAGACAAGTTGGGGCTATTCTGCTGATTTGTCTGGGGAAAGAGAGACAAAATAGAGAGAGCTGCTGCAGACCAGAGTCCCACACCAGTGCAGACGCAAAGGGGCCTGCCTGCTCTTTGCCCTTCTTCCTTTGCTCATCATACTTTACTAATCCATGGCACCTTCACCTTTGGTGGCATCATATCACTGTGCTTCAGGGAGGTGAAAATAGGAAACTTTGGCTACTGTGGGTGTGAAGGTGCAGGGGGGAAATCTCTTGTGAAAGAGCAGAGTACCATTCTCTCTTGCCGTACATCACTTCCTTGGTCTGCCTGCATATCCTCCTTTATCCATCTTTCCCTTCATTTCTCAAGGCTGATACATCTAAAGTCGTCACCCTAACTTCTAGCAATTCAAGGAGCTCTTCCTGAGAGATGTTTTTTTATTACAGCTGGAATAGGAAATCGTCCTCTTCAAGGCTGCGTGCCATGGCAAAATACCTTGACAACTTCTTTCTCTTGACTCTGCAGAAGACCACAGCAAGCTTTTTACTTGTCTTAGGGCAATATTACCACAAAATAAAAATGTAGGAAAGTGGCTACTGACAGCAGGTCTCACCCAGCCCTTGCCATCTGGAGATCTAAACCCCTCACCATTTTGGATTGTATGACCTGGAAAGAAGAACATATGCAAGAAAGAAGTTTGCTGGTACATCTATCGAATTTAGTCCAAGAATGCAAAACATTTGGGGTATGCAAGCTACAGAGTAAATCAGGCAGTGGGTGTTTCAAGCCTGATGGTGACACTCACAGCACTGTTTAATCAGCTAAATCCTGGGCTGTGGAACACTTCCATGTATAGCAATGCTGTTACAACATTGCAAATTGTGGAAAGCAATGGCACTCATTCACTATTGTATTAGCTGCCTAATTCTTTTAAAGGGCCTGATCCAAAGCCCACTGAAATCCCATTGACTTCAGAATACTTTGGACCTAGCTGTAAAGAAGAGATTTTCAACATTCCTTTGTAACAAAGTGAAAACAAGTACTTTTTGGCTGCAGTTTCTCCTCATCTTTCTAGATATTTGTCTGTTCTTCCCCACCCAGGCAGCTCTGTTTGCTTTTCCCCAGCCAGGTCTCTGCATCTCCAGTCTCCTTGTCTCTCTCAACACACTTTCCCTGCCAGCTCTGACACCTGTTGTAGCCTTTGGTCTGCTTAAGCTGCCACCTCCCAGCTCTCTTCCAGCCTCATAGCTCTGAAAAAGAAAACACTCACTGCCACAATTTTTCATTATAAAGTTCCAAAGGAGTTTCAGGTTATTCCCAATGAGATAATATCCAGCCTTATTATCAGAGACCATAAAGATCAGGCAAGAGGTTGTGGGAATCTCCACCATGGAAGATTTTTAAGGAGGTTAGACAAACATCCATCAGAGACAGTCTGAGTATAGTAGTCCAGCCACAGAGTCCAGTAAGGGACTAGATAATGCTTTGATAGGCTTCCCTACATTTCTGAAATTACCACAAAATGTCCATGAAATTTCTTCACGCCTATTGCCTTCTGTAAGGCTTCCACAGAGAGACAGCACATTGTACATTTATAGAGCAAAAGTTCAAGTACCTCTGTTCATTGACATCAAAATAAAGCCTCCTGCTGCCTCTACCAAGTTCAGATTTTCTTTTGGGTCTGAAACAGGGAACTGAAACCAACTTTCCTTCCATTTTGTTCGGTGTATGCATCCTGCATTGCTAGTATATCTGCCATGTTCCTTTTTGCATTTACCTGCTTTGAATCATTGTTATAGAAAGAGAAAACTTCAGTCGGCATGTCACATTAATTCACCAGAGATGGAAGCTAGCCCCACTCCGTCAATGAAGCTATGTATATTTTAAAAGCAAGTAAGGATATGGCCCGTGAGAAGAATATTGTTGCACATTTAGGCTTGAGAAAAAGGGAAAAAGAGAAGAAAGAGAGAAGGAGAGAGAGGAAGAGAGGAAGAGAGAAAGAAAGAGAGAAAGAGAGAAGAAAGAGAGAAAGAGAGAGAGAGAGAGAGAGAGAGAGAGAGAGAGAGAGAGAAAGAAAGAAAGAAAGAAAGAAAGAAAGAAAGAAAGAAAGAAAGAAAGAAAGAAAGAA